ACCATTTATTCGAGAAAATACACTAAAAGTCAGGAAGAACAGTGAGAGTCCGTCCAGGCCAGCGTGAGGGAAACTCCGCTGCAGGTGGGGGCTCCCTCCCCCAGCTCCTGGCCTGGAACAAGGCGTCTTCTCACCCCAAGAAGACCAGAGGCTACTGTGTCCCCACCAGTGCCCAAGCCCTGAGGCCTGGGTGTCATCCCGAGAGAACCTGCCACTGTTCCTGACCCAGCTCCAGACCCGTCATTGACAAACGGCCGCGAGGAAAACGGAACAAAGGGGGACTCGGACCACCTGACCCCACCACAAAGCTGCAGCACACAACCCAGCCGGTCCCGGCATCCGGACCCGCACACAGACCAATGACCAGTTACAGAGGGAGGGGACAGACCAGCGCGCCGACAGCCTGTCCATTTTTGCAGAAACCCCAAAGTTATTTGAAAGTGAAAGCAAAGTCTTCTCAATAAACGACTCATCAATACAGAAACATGACTCATCAAACTCCACCTCACACCATGAACAAAAGTCAGCTTGAGGAAAGCCCACAGGCAGAACGATACCCACAGAGGTTCTGAAGAAAGCGACAGACGCCTGCAGCCATCGAGTGGACCCGAGGTGGGGAGAGGGCTCCAGGGGTCCAGGGAAAGGGAGCAAGACCGAGGTGAGGAGCCGGCCGGCGTCTCTCAAATGCGCTGACGAGAACGCTGCACAGAAATGGTTTCAGCCTAGACGTCTGCACCCAGCGACAGAGCAGACACTCCCGACGTGAACACCCCACAGCCCGTCTGCACCCTCCTGGGAGGACAGAAGAAGGCGTCTCTCTCCCGGGGGCCCTGACGCTGTCCGGAACCCTCAGCGCCCTGGGCCAGGGCCCTGTGCAGAGCACCTGGTCCCGTCCTTTCCCTACAGAGGACGTCGGACCCCCCCCCCCCGCCCCGACACACCTCAAGGGACAGCCCAGCACCTACAAAACATAAGAACTCCAGTTTGTCATTTAAAACTGTGTCCCACAAGCTCTGATGATCCCCTGCCTGCCTCCTCCACACTGCGGCGGAGTCTGCAAACGAGGCATCGTGCACCATGCGACTTCGCCAGCCTTGCTTTGGAATCGCTCTTCGGCCCTGGCCGGTGCGGCTCAGCGGTTAGAGCGTCGGCCTGCGGACCAGTCACAGGTTCGGTTCTGATCAAGGACCTCGGTTGCAGTTCAGTCCTGGCCCTGGTCGGGTCATGCAGGAGGCAACCAGTCCATGCGTCCCTCTCACATCGATGTTTCTCTGTCTCTCTCCCTCCGTCCTCCCCAGTTTCTCTGAAGATAAAAATGGAAAAATATCCTCAGGTGAGCATTAAAAAAATAATAATTGCTTTTCATTTTGTTTATTAGAGCAGTTTGGGGGTCACGGAGAAACTGAGAAGGTAGAGAGATGGTCTGTACACCTTCTGCCCACACATGCACAGACGCCTGTTATCAACACCCCACGAGCATCCATCACAGCTGAGGAACCCTCACGGACACCGTGATCACCCACAGGCCCAGCTCATCTAGGGCTCACCCTGGGGGGGACATTCCACGGGAACTGGAGCAGGACAGTCTCCACTGTTACCGGGCCACACGGAGGAGTCTCCTGCCCTAAGAACCCCCTGTGCTCCCCGTGCACCCCCACGCCCGTGTCTTCTGCAACTGTGGCATTAGAGGGAAAACATCCCTAGACAACGTGTAACAAATGGGCATTTCTCGGTGCTAATAAAACCTTATTTACAAAACAAGCAGCCACGGATCTGGCCCACGTGGTGTCAGACGACCTGTGGACAACAGTGTGATTCCCACCATCTTACAGGAAAGCTGTTCTCAGTGGCTTGACCAGTGCTAATGATTTTTCTCTGTTTTCCTCTGGACTCCATCCTCTCTCTGGAGGGGGATCGATACACAGTCAACAGCTGAGAGTGAACCACGTGAGAGACTAGACTCCCTTTGCATGTCCTGCTTTAAAGCTACATCCGCTTTCTCCACCTCAAGTCCCCGGCTTCCCGAACACCGTCGGAAGGAGGGCCCTCTCTCTGAGGTCCTGGTCTGCTCCCCATCAAGGTGGCCGGGGCTTCCGGCGGAGCAAGTCCAACGAGGCCACCACGGGGCTGTCTGTGGCCCGTCTGCCACGTGACCACTCCGGGGAGCGCAGCCCCACTTCTCACGGCGGATCGAGAACGGCATCTTGTTTAAAGAACAAACCAATGCTGTTCTCACGTTCAGAGGACACCAGCCTCCGGGGTGGCGCGTGGACACGGCACCTTCCGGCCTCCAGCTATCGGCAAACAGAGCGAAAGCCGTGTCTTCCCAACGGGAACTCGTCTCATCGGACTCGCCCCGAACACCATGGCCACTCGCTCAACTCCGTCCTCCAAAATGAACTGACTGAAGGGTGAAAATTTATCAAAGTGGGAGTCCCCTGAGGACCCCCGCGAGGTCCACCACCTCCCCCAGGGGACAGTCACACCGACCATGCAGCGTCCGACTAGCTCCGTGCGAACCCGAGAGTGCTCCCTGCGCGGTCATCACTGGTCTGTCATTAAAAAAAAGACAGACAGCAGATGGAAACACCACCATCAAAGCCTAGAGTGTAGGTAGGACACCGTGTCTGCCAAGTGTTAACAATTTAAAACATTTTAATTTGTTTATTTTTAATCCTCACCCGAGGATATTTTTCCATTGATTTTTAGATGGTGGAGGGAGGGAGGGAGGGAGAGAGAAACATCCACGTGAGAGAGACACATCAGCTGGTTGCCTCCTGCACAACCCCAACCAGGGCCGGGGATCGGACCTGCAACTGAGGTGCGTGCCCTTGACTAGGAATCGAACCCGAGACCCTTCAGCCTGAGGGCTGACGCTCTACCTGCTGAGCCAAATGACAGGAACAATTTGTAGCATCTCAAGTAGCATCTTAAGCACAAGGTAAGAGCCTTTGTCAGAAAGTGTGTCCCAGAACGGACGGGCATCGGCCTGACAGGCAGCCCGGTCAGACGAAGAGACTGACCCACGAGGAAGACGGGGTCTGAAATAAGCCCTCTGGGGCCTGCCCTCGAATCTCCGCGTCCAGCAGTCCCCCCGAGAGCGATTTGCCCCCCAAGTTCAAGCTGAGCTGTGCTGCGTCCTTTGCCAGCCATGCGGAAGCCAGGACTAAGGTGTCCCCATAGGGTTTCACTTCAAACCACTTTTAATTGAGAGAGAGAACCATCGATGTGAGAGAGAAACATCCGTCGGCTGCCTCCTGCACGGCCCCTGCCAGGGACCAAGCCCGAAACCCGGGCACGTGCCCTGACTGGGGATCGAACTGGCGACCTTTCCGTGCCCGACGACGCCCAGCCGAGCCACGTTGGCCAGGGCTCCTAGAGCTCAGCACCGAGTCTGGGGGGACAGCAGGTGCCCTAGAACAACAGGGACCCCGAGTGACCCCGAGGACAGAGACGGACAGCTGGTGGGAGCTGAGCCCAGGGGGTGCTCTTCCCGGGACCGCTCACAATGCCAACGCAGGCACAGGGGGACAGAGATTCCGTCTCCGGCATCTTTTGGGGCCACCTCTCAACCGTCGACGGTTTTCAACAAACGAGGAGAAAGTGAGTTATGTATTGAAACGAACACGCACTATAAATACTTCCTTGTATTTAATCACCAAAAGCCCCAAGATGCTGTCCTGTTAGAGGCTGCGTGGGCGTCAGTCCAGTGTCCTTGGAGCTCAGAGCCTGGCTGAGCCTCGTGTCCTTGTGTGTACAGTGGGGACAAGGTGGCCGGGTCAGGCTGCTGTGCAGGTTGACACACGTCGCTTGGGGGCCTGGCACCTGAATCTTGTGACAAGCCCTGGTCCCCAACGGCTTGGGGCAAACCGTCCACTTGGCAGGAAAGGGCCTACAAAATCCCTCGGCCCAGCCACTACCATCCATTAGGTACGGAGGACAAAACGGTCAGGGAACAGGCCACATGTACAAATGACCTGTCTCTGGGGATCAGGGCTTCAGTCATGAGAGCAGCCTGTCCTCCCCCAAGCGGTCACCTGTGGCTCTGGGTCTTCTGACTCCCAGAATCATCAACGTAAATGCCGTCTGCACAGCCCGCGGACGCCCAGGACGTGCACTGAGTCTTATTTACCTGAGTCCCCAGCCCGGCCCAGTGCCTGGCACCAAAGTCCTTCAGAAACACTGACGGAAGGAACGAGCAGGGTCCTCCGGGAACCTCGGCTCTGGTCACAGTAACAGGGATGACCGCTGTCCACGGGGCACTACACGAAGTACTTCGCACACACTGAGGGGACTAGACAAGGGGATGCACCTGCCCATGTGGGTTTGGCCGACACTCCAGAAATGCCGGTGATGGTCATCACCTGTTCCAACCCTCACCCCAGCCAGGAGCGGAGGTGTCGCTGTCCCCGCTGCCCAGCAGGAATGGAGGTGCAGAGGGTCAAGTCACAGGGTTCACACCTCGGAGACCTGCTCTCTCCACCACCCCACACTGCAGCTAACTCACAGTATTTAGTGTGGCCTCACAGCTGGTCCCAGGTTGGATGTTCGTAATCTGACTGTACATATAAACTGTGTGCATGTATGTATGTATACATGTAACTGGTACACACACACACACACGTGCACACATGCATGCACATAGGAACACATGCACACACGTATGCATACATACACACATGCACACGCACGCCGAGCACCGTCTCTGAAGGAGCAACGAGAGCGAACACGGACGGAGAGGCAGGAGGTCCCTGTGAGCAGGGCTCTGTGCTCGCTCAGTTCCTGGTCTCTGACCAGGCAGGTGTCTGACGAGCCGCAGAAGCAGCACATCCGATGCTCTGTCAAGGCCAGAGCCTCGGCCACAGGCTTTTCCCTCCAGCTGAAGACCCTGTTTGTCAGTGAACCCCCGCACGAAGAAAGATGAGCTGGGGCAGCCAGGCCCCGACACCTCCCCACTGCCTGGCCACCCAGCGCGAGCCCAGGAGGCCAGCGGAACTTACAGGAGGAGTGGATGCTGGGGAAGCTTTTGCGGCCCTCGGACACCAGGTCGGGGTCCCCCGTGCACTGCATCTCCGAGTTCATCACCCCATCTGGAAAGCAGCGGTAAAAGAAATCGGGACGAGGTCTACAAAAGACACCACGGACACGGTCATGTAGACGCTGCCATGACCGCCGAGCCCGAGCTGCCCGCCCGCGGCCCCTGCTCCCGCCCCCAACACCGAGCTCGCCCCGGGGTCCCGACACGAGGGTCTCGGACAAGGTCGACTTCAGGTCGGAGACACTGAGCTGGGAACCCGCCCCGCCACCCGCTAGTGCGCTGACCGCGGGGACCTGTTTCCTCATCTGCAAGGGGGGGTCGGCACCTACAGAGGTGAGGTCTGAGGGTGGACGGCTGGCATGAGGGCCCTGAGCTCGGCCTGGTGGAGTCCAGGCCCTGCCGTTCGGGGTCTGCGTGCAGCGGCCAGGACTCCAGGCGGCTCAGGTCCCCTGGTCGTGACTGTGGCCAGCGCCCGTCCTCAGGGAGCAGGTCTCAGCTACCCTCACCGAGAGGACCCGACGCCCCGCTCCATGCGCTGAGCACATGGTCACCCGGTGCTGTGGGGGGCACTTGGGGGGCACTCGAGGGGCGTGGGGCCAGCCTGCTGCCGCAGTCCGGCCACCTTGAGGACTGGGGACCGGACACGGTGCTGAGCACCCCACACGTGCCCCGGGGCACACCTGGGCCTGCGTTCACTCCACAGGTCCCAAAAGGAAGGCTTCAAAGTCACAGCCCTGCCAAGGTCACACAAGGTCACACAGCCAGTGAGGGGCAAAGACCAGCTCTGAGCCCCGCAGTGGGGTCCTCGCACCCACACACTGCGCCCGTACTCTGTGCCTCGCTCGAGTGAGGACTTCCACACGTGCCCACTGCGGGCCAGGACCCGCAGGGCTGGGGGCACAGGGCCCCTGTTCTGCCCAAACTGGTCCCAGTTCACACACCGACCACTGGTCCCCAGCTCTGGGATCAAGGTGCTAAAATAACCAGTATCTATAACGTCGACAATCAATGTGAGCAATCTATCAGAGATGCAAGTGTGATGTCCACCTACTGAACCGAAATCTCAGAGCAGACAGGCCTGAGGATCGGCCTCTCGTCTGGGCCGCAGCCCCCTACGCCGGCCCTGCCGGAGGACACGGAGCCCCGGTCACGGCTGACGGTTCCGATGCCTCCTCTGCTCTGGGGCCTGGCCCGCACCCTGCCCCCACGTCGCACCCAGTTCATGCTGAGGTTCCGAGGGGAGGTGACCTGGCCCGTCAGCTCTCGAGTCAGGCCTGAGACCAGCAGAGACCAGCTCCCCCCGAGCCGTCGGGGAGAAGGGGAGAAATCATTTCCCCGGAACGTGCTTTCAGCCCCAACTCAAATGCAGATCGTGCCCCGAAGAGAACAATAAGTGATCTCCCTGGGGAGGGGCCCCCGCGGACAGCCGAGCCCCGGGAAGCAGCATCGGCCTCGGCCCATGAGAAGGCAGTTGGGGGCCTTCTCTCCTACTGATCTCCCCCTTCGGAGAGTCGGGAATTCGGAGGAGACGGTCTGTGCTGAGGACAGAACCCGAAAGGCGACAAGTGAAGGGAAAGGCGGACGCGCCTGCATCTGCCTCGTGCAGTTCCCTCGGCCACGGTCCCCGCACGCACGACCCGAGCGCACATCACCGTCTGTCTCGCTGGGACTCACCTTCCGACTATCAGCTTAATCGTGTTCGTGCAGACTCCGTTCAGGGCCAGGGCCAGGGACACGGCTACAGAAGAAGCAGACAGAACAGTGACCAACGGGCCTCAGACCGAAACCGCCCCCAGCACCCGGCCTCGCCCGCTCCTCCACGCGTGGCCGCGCAAATCCGCGCCGACCCGGTTAAAAGCAGCGGGCGTGTGGGCGGCCAGGGTGAAGGACACTGGGCAGGACTCTGGAGAGCGAGCGGCTGACAAACCAGGTCCCGTGACGTGACGTGTGCTCTCCCCTCCCGAAACGATCACACGTTGAGGAGCCATCTGCCGCGCGCTGGCCGGTGCGCACGGGACGGCACCGAGTAGAATTTCTTTTGCGGAACAAGAAGCATGAACTTTCTTGTGTCCTCTGGCAGTTCTCAGACATGAGTCCCGCCCGAGCGGCCGCTGGAACCACCCTGAGCGGCAACCATCTCGCTGACCGGCCCCGGCCCACAGCGGCCCACGTGTGGCCAAGCGGCTCAGTGCTGAGCAGGCCGGACCCCGTGACCTCGCGGGGTCGGGAAGGTGGGCACAAGGCAGCAGGCGTGTCCGGAAACCGTGACTGAAACGCACGTGTGGGGCTCTCTCCACGCAGCTCGGAGGGGCTCTGGCGGACGACGCACAGATCACCCACATGCCGCTCCCGCAGGGACCTCCCACCTCGCCAGGAGGCGTGACGGCCGCACCACCGTGGAGCCTCCGATGCCCGTTCTGTGCTTTGTTGAACGTTGGGGTGACATTGGCTAATAACATTATGTAGGTTTCAAGGGTGCAATTCTAAACCACATCCTCTGTATATTGTGTGATCGCCACCCCAAATCTAGTTTCTGTCCATCACCATTTACCCCCTTTACCCACTTCTACCTGCCCCCCCCCCCCCCGCCCTCTACCTTCCTATCGTCTGTCTGTGAGTTTTATTTATTCTCTGATCAATCCCTCCACCTGCTGCACCGGCCACCCAACCCCCTCCCCCGACAGCTGTCAGTCCATCTCTGTTTCTATTTTATTTTGTTCATTAGATTCCACATGTAAGTGAAAGTATACGTTGTTTGTCTTTCTCTAACGGGCTTATTTCACGGAGCATAACATCCTCCGGGTCCATGGCTGCTGTCGCCAAAGGTCAGATTTCCTGTTTTCACAGCGGAGCCGCGTGCACCTCATGCGTCACCAGGAAGTCCACACACTCGTGCGGGTGAGGACGCGGAGAGGAGGGGACTCTCGCGTGCTGTTCATGGGAATGCGGACGGGTGCAGCCTCTGTGGAAAACTGTGGAGATTCCGCAAAAACTTAAAAAGGGCCCGGCCGGTGTGGCTCCGTGGTTGAGTGTCGACCTGCACCAAGGGATCGCCGGTCTGATTCCTGGTCAGGGCACATGCCCAGGGTGTGGGCCTGATCCCCAGTGGGGGGCGTGCAGGAGGCGGCCAGTCGATGTTCTCTCTCGTCAATGTTGCCATCTCTCTCTCTCTCTCTCTCTCTCTCCTTTCCTATCTAAAAAAAAAAAAATCAATCAAGGGGAAAAAAAATCAATAAAGGAAAAAAAACTTGAAAAGGAAACAGTACGACCCAGGAATCCCACTTCTGGGAATGTGTCTGACGAACCCACAACGCTGATGGGCAGAGCGCACACACCCGTGTTCGTGCAGCACTATTCCCAGGGGCCACCGGCTGGGAGGGGACAGGAGCTGTGTCTGCTCAATGGAAAACCGACCGCTTCTCACCAGACGCAGGAGCAGAGGAAACGGGAGGACAGTCACATGAACACCTTTGTCAAGGGGAAACGTATCACCTAAGTGTGAGATGGGGACACTGACATCTCGGTGTGGCCGTGGAGGAGGGACGGCCACGGCCACGGCCACGGCCACAGGTGGAGAGCGAGCCGAGTCGGCTCCACGGAACTGCAATGGGCAGAAACTGAATCCAAACCACAGAGAAGCCCTGACGACGCTCTGCAGGCACAGACCCTTTCTTCTCTCTCGAGCTCACAGCCCTGGGGTCTCCCCGGCCAGGGCTGGTCCGGGGGCTCACTGCGTCTCCAGTGGGGTCACACCCCCTCTCTTCCTGGCCCTGGCATGGCCTTCGGCACCGAGAAGATCTCAGGAACAAGCTTCACTGTCTGACCTCCCGAGGCCCTGGGGGAACCTCCGGATCCCACACCGCCCAGGACACCACGGCCCCCGCTCCACAGGCTGGGCTCATTGCGGCTCAGAGAGGCCCTGACAAGATCAAGCAGCTGAGCCAGAAAACGTGCCTGTGGTCCAGCCACGGACGGCTGGTATGTCTCCCCAACCCCGAGCCTGGAGGACACAGACCGGAGTGAGGTCTACAGTGACCGTACTGAGGGTGGACGTCCCTGGGCATCCGGACGCAGACTGCACCAGTCACCATTTCCATCTGAACAGCACAGCCCAGGGCACCTGGGGCCTCCAGGGGCAGCAGGCCGGCGGGACCCTCCCAGGAGGGCCTGTGGTCTGGTCTGTTTGCGGCTCCACCCAGCACCGCGGGCTCGAGAGGGGTCAGAGGCAACACAGACTGTCCAACAATCTTCAAAGCCACGTGCCCTGTGGGTTTGCCGGCAAGCGGCCTGTACAGGGGACACCACTGCTCGACGAGCACCCCGGAGGCTCAGAGGGCCCCTGTCCTGCTGTGCAGTCAGCACCTCCTTCCCCAACGGGCTCTCTGTCCTCGGCCAGCGTCCCCGGAAGCCCGACGCGGGGTGCGCCTCGCCTCACTCCCCTTGTCCAAGAGCCACGCACAAAGGTGGCCGCTGTGGACGTGCGGAGACGGGAGCCCTGGGCCCGGGTCTGGGGAAGAGGCTGTGTGAAGGGCCCGAGCACTGAACCCCGACGGAGAGGGCCCTGAAGCCCAGGTGACACCTCCTCCTCTGTCCTTGCTTTTTTTTTTTTTTTTTATCCTCACCCAAGGATATTTTTCCATTTTTTTGTACAGACAGAGTGGGAGGGAGAGAGAGGAAGAGAGAGAGAGAGGGAAACATCGATGTGAAAGGGACACATCGAGTGGCTGCCACCCGCACGACCAACCAGGGCCGGGGACAAACTGCAACCGAGGTACATGCCCTTAGCGGGAACCGAACCCGGGTCTCTCCGGACCGCAGGCCGACGCTCTAACCGCTGAGCCAAACCGGCCAGGGCTATCCTTGCTTTTCTAAGCTCACTCCTGCACCCCGATTTCTGAGGCTTCCTAAATGATTTTTAAAGTGAGTACACCCCAAGGCTGTCCCTGATTTCTGCAGGGCCGGCTCTCGTTCCCTCGGGCAAACAGACGTCCCACCTCCTCTGTTCACGCGCAGGAGGCAGCGATTCAGGGGCGACTGCGAAATGCTGAGGAAGGTTCAGCTGCGGATGGGAAAGTCCAGAGAGAGTGTGGGTGAGCTGTAGCCGCAGCCAGACTTCAGAAGCCGGCAGTCGGCTACCGTGAGGTCGTGCCCACCGTCACGTCTTGGTATCGGGCCCGAGGAGGGACCAGAAGAAATGAGAGGCGAAGGGACTTCCAGGTCCGCTGGGGGGCACCCAACAGGACGTTCCGGGACACAGAGCTGCCTGTCCGAACAGCCCCAGCTGCCCGGGCCACGTGCGGGAGGGGCCCCGATGCCCTCGGAAACACCCGACCTTTCCTCCACCAGCCGTGGACACTGACCATGTGACCATCGAACCTGAAGCCACAGAGCAGCAGCCTGGGGGACTCCCCCGGCAGAGGGGGGCCGCTGGCCAGAGCCCCTGACTTTGTGGCCAGGCTTGAGAAACGAGAGGAGGCAGAGCCCCTGTCTGGGAGCCTGGGCTGTGGGGACAGCACACCTGGAGGCAGGACTGGAGGTGCACGTGGGCAGGAGACCTCGGCCGAGCCTCACACCAAAGGCGCGGGCAGCAGAGGTGATGTCCAGACAGGAGCGAGGGGGACGGCGTGTTACAGGAGGAGCAGCCATGGGTGGGCGTCTCCGCCCCTCCCGCCCAGCTCCCTGACTCCAGTCCCTGCGAGGCTCTTCCGTGTCCCCCCGCCCTTGACGTCTGTGGGGTGCTTGTGTAGCCCTGTAACTAACCCGACTGCTCTGAGCTGACCTCAGAGGGACGGTTCTCTGCACCCAGACAGCCCAGCCAAGGCCGGTCCTGCAGGCCCTGCTCCTGTCCCTCGGGCACCGGCCTTGGTGGCTGGCCCCGTGGCCCGTGGCCTGTGGCCGTCTGATTCTGACCTGCCCGTGGGTGGTGACCAACTGCGGACTCGCTTTCTTTGCTGCCCAGACACGCCCTGCTGCCGGGAAGCACAGACCTCCAACTGGACGTGGAGTGGCCTTCAGCACCAAGGACAGCGGCGGGCTGCCCAGGGGCCTCCCTTCCCCTCCAGAGCTTCTGAGGACCAGAGCCCTGTCCCCCCCCAGCTCCACCCAGAGAAAAATCAGTCGGTGCAACAGATCTGCTTACACCCAGTGATCTAGTTCCGTCGGCCCTTCCCTGAAACAAGATCTGTGGGGCTCACCCAGGAAGGCTTCCTTGACCTCCGTCCTGTCCGTCCGCCGGATGATTTTCACCACACAGATCACGGCCAGGGGCGTGAGGAAGGAAATGGCCTGGGAGAGAACAGAGACCCCGTGAGCTCGCCGAGCGGCCGTGAGCCCGTCAGCGTCATTCACACTCGCTGGCTGACTCCCAGCCCACACAGAGGAGGGTTCGTATCTACGCCGAGAGACCCCGCAACCTGGAAAACTGACGTCTGGCTGCAGGTTATAATTGATTTGCGATTGCCGGGAGCCATGTTTAAAGTGGTGCTTTTTTTAAACAGAAAAGTCTATAATTTGTGATGACTCATTTTTGCCAGGAAGCCCCTCGCGCCCCCCCTCAGCGGGCGGGGGACCCGCCGCCCCAGCTGTCCGGCATCACGGGGCCTCTGGGACTTGCTCAGCGTCCATCAGTCCGTTCCCTCTGGTTCTTTTCTTGAACATTTGTTTCCTCGGCAAAGCAGAAGCCGGCACTTTGCTGGACATTCTTCTCTTCCTCCCCTCCGACCCCTCTTTCCTGGGCCCAGGCACCGAGCTGGGGTGCAGGGGTGAGCCTCACCACAGAGCCCGCGCTGGGGCAGGAACTCTGCTCGGGGCCACCAGGGGCGGAGCCTGTTAAACCCCTGCCACGGCCCCGTGAGCGCCGGGCTTGGGGCACCACGGTGACAGGACACACCGCCGGTGCGGGATGAGGCCCGGCTCTGCAGACCCGGTGTCCTGCCCCCACACCAGGTCTCTGCCCGGCGCCCCACAGGTAGGAAGGTGTTTGCGACATTCGACAGCCAAGGAAAAGACATTCACGTCACTTCCTCGGGGTTACAACACGTCACGATAACTACCAAAGGGACGACCCTCTCCAATGCACAGCTGGCCCCGCGGTCCGTGGCGGGAGGGGCGGAGCTGTGATGAAGACGTCCCAGCATGTGCCCGAGGGCAACGCTCCTTCTGGAGAGGGGCATGGCCAGGAGATGCTTCTGTAGGACGGAGCTCATCCGCACGGACGTTATCCGCACGCTTACGACCGGCAGAGCGAGCTCAGAGCATCCCGCGGACCCGCTCAGGGAACTGTCTGCAGAGACAGGTCCTGAGACACGCGAACCCACTGGTTCCTTTCGGACCACGGCGGCAGCTGCGCCTCCGGTCGGCTGTGGCCCTGGCTGAGTAGCTGAGTGAACATCCGGTAGCGAGTCTTGTGCCCTGGAGGGTGTTCAGAAGAAGGTGGCCCAGTCGAAGGGCAGCTGCCGGAAGAGACTCGGAGACGAAGCCGACACGCAGAGCATCTTCCCGGGGGCGACGCGAGGGGCCGAGTCCCTCCACAGGCTCACAGGGCAGGTCTGAAACCTCCATCGCAGATGATACCGGTACCAGCGAAGGAGCAACCCTGCGTCCACGTCTGACTCGACACCGTCAGGGTGTCAACCGTGGCGACTGAAGCCCGCGGCACTAAGTCCAAAGCTCCGGCCCAGGTCGAGGAAGCACCTGGCTCCCAGTTTCTGCTGCTGACAGGCCCAGGAGACGGGAGCCCAGGGAAGTGAACACGCCCCGAACCCGCCCCCGGCGAGCCTTGGACACGAGAACACGGAAACCTACAAGACCGTCCTGGGCAACGTGCTCTGCTGTCGGTAGAACTCAAACCGCAGCAGAAGTGTGAGTTGGGAAGATTCCCCCAGAGGCTCAGGATGGGGCGGGAGTTGCCAAGCGGACCAGAGACGAGGGCACCACCCGGCACCCACTGCTCCGGGCCTCGCCGTGGGAGCCGGAACAGCCCGTGGCCGCCCGGTGGCTCCAGGCTCGTGGCTCAATGGCTCCTAACTGGATCCCACCCCCACCCGCCGGCTGAACTTTGGGAGCAGAGCCAAGCGCCCAGGCAGGAGAGACGCAGCCACAGCACCCGGCACGCGTGCGGCTCCTCCGGGCGGCGCGTGGACTCCGGTCTCCTTCCTGCCTACCGGGCGCACCGCCGTCTCCTCGGGCACTGCTGTCCTCAGACCAGGCAGAAGACACATCTGCCACCTGCCCTTCTCCCAACTGTTTCTACTTGACGTTGGGATGGCGAGATGAAGCCCAGAAGTCCACACGTTGGGAAAGCGACCTCTTCCTGGGACAAACGCTCTCGGCACCGAGTGAAGGGGACGGAGAGCGAGGGAGCGGCACCCCGACCTCAGCAGTCCTGCCCCAGGCTCCCGCTCCCACAGGGGCGCCCGGCGCCTTCAGAGGCCGCCGTGCTGATGCTGGAGCCATGGAGGAGGGGACGGGGGCCCTGAAACACGGGGGGGGGGCTTCCTCCTGTCTCCAAACAGCGGGGAGATGGAGGCTGAACAGGGCCGGCAAGATCCCCCCAGTATTGTTTTCACTTAGGTTAATGTTCTCATGGCTTAAGAAAAGGTTTGGGAATCCCGGGTGTGAGCCCCGTGTAGAAAGACTGAATGACCAGGCTGATGAACCGGGGCGGGAGAGACCAGAACGGGGGTCAGCAGCCACTCGCTGCCGCGGGAACAGCTGCACCGTCCCAGCCGCCACCCGCCGAGCACCAGGCTGCCGAAGGTACACGCCACCCACGTCAGACAGAGGCTCACACGTCCTCGGGGCCGCGGTCTGTGGTGACTCCTGCGATGCTCCAGCAGCTCTGGGAAGCAGGCTCCTTACTGACTGGGCAGGAAACGGAGGCACAGAGGTGAGCGATCTGACGTCACTCAGCTGTAAGTGGGAACCTCGGGACTGGCACCGAGTGGGGCGGCTCTGTGCTGTGTGTCGGTGTCACAGACGCTCGCGCAGGAGTCAGAAGCGATGAGACAAGTGTCACTACACAGTCAGTGCCTCGTCTCTGGAGTGGAGGCTGCAGGAGGCCCCTCTGCAGGCACAGAAACGCGGTGGCAGCCATCCCGGGTGAGCACCTGCTGTGCGAGGGGCTCTCGCACGCGTCCACCCTCTCGCTGTCCCCACAGACACCAGACCAGAGCGCAGAGCGGCCGAGGGGCCCGGAGCCCCACCAGGGCCGCCGGGATGCGGTCCTGAGCGGCAGCGACCACCCTGCCCCCGTCCCAGCTCACGAAGGGGAGGTGGGGGCTGAGGTAAGTCCTGGAGTGAAGAACGTTTTATGTATTTTTAAAATGTTTTATTGATTTTTTCCTTTTAGAGAGAAGGGGGAATGGAGAAAGATAGAAACATCAATGTGAGAAACATCGATTGGCTGCCTCCTGCACGCCCCCCACTGGGGATCGAGCCTGAAATGCGGGCACGTGCCCTGACCCGGAATCCAACCAGGACCTCTCAGTCCCTGGGACGACGCTCCAGCCAGTGAGCCACAGGGCCGGGCTTAACGACTATTTTATAAACTACTAATTAATTGTCCTACAAAGCTCCGCACATCGAGAAAATGTGTATGAACCGCTGAGCAGGATCCGGGCAGGGCCGGCTTCGCGGAGGCTGTTCCGCGGGCGGGGGAGGGGGTTCTGCAGAAGAAAACCCGTGGAACGGACTCCGACTGAGGAGAGCTGGGTTCGAGTCCAGCTCCGACTCGTATCGGCTCTGTGACCTCGAGCAGGACACTTGACCTCTGCACCGGAGTCTCAGTTCCTCACCTGGACAACGGGTCTAACAATAACGACACCTACAGAAGAGTAGTGTTGCTGGCACTTAAATTCACCTCCTGTCACTGAACACCGTTCGTGGGTCACCCACGAGACGTGCGAGTCTTGGGGGGGCTGTCTCCTGAAGCTGGGAACTCGGTCGTGTTCTCGGTTCCGTACTGAGTCTCTCTGCTCTTCAAGGCCCTTCCTGGGATGTGAGGGTCTCAACGTCCCGGGAGGGGACGGAAGGTGCGGTCAAGTCCTTCTTACCGATAAGGAGACGGAGGCCCTGGGAGGTGGTGCTGGTCCCGGTCTGTGGAGGTGCTAAGAGGCACAGCTGGGGTCTCTCGGAGGCCACGTGCCCACCACAGGGCCCAGCAATGGCGCCAAAGACAGGAGTGTGCGCCAGGGCTCCAGGTGACGCTGCCCCGCTCCCTCCGACTTAGCTCCGTCCCCACCTTTACCTGGTAATGTCCTTAGTGACACTGACCAAGTAGCTCCTCTAAACACACACATGCACAGACACACGCACACTCACCCACACACGCACATGTACACACACTGCACACACACACAAAACAAGCACTCGCAGACATGTATACATGTACACACATGCACACACATGCACTCACAGACACACACAAACACGTACTCACAGACATGCACACACATGCATGCACAGTTGCACACACACAAACACACACAGGCACTCTCAGACATGTATACGTGTACACACACGCACACACAGACACATTTGCATGCACACACATACATTCACACACACATGCACAGACACGCGCACACTCACCCACACACGCACATGTACACACACTGCACACATAAAACAAGCACTCGCAGACATGTATACATGCACACACATGCTCACACATGCACTGACAGACACACACAAACACGTACTCACAGACATGCACACACATGCATGCACAGTTGCACGCACACACACACAGGCACTCGCAGACATGTATACGTGTACACATGTACATATATGTGTACACGTATACATGTATACGCACTCACAGACACACTTGCATGCACACACATACATTCACACACACATGCACATACACACACAGGCCTAAACCACTGATTTCCCAGGAATGAAACATCGGGGTTAACAGCAGCTGCCTTTAACAAACACTCCTTGGTTAGGAAGTTCGTGTTCAAACATTCCATCCAAAAGTGTGAGACCCCGGGACCGTGACCATTCATTATTGATTCCAATAATGAAATTTGAGCTTTCTAAAGAAACCAAACTATGTTTAAAACACATTAAAAATATATGTTCTATTACATGTTGCTATAACTACCTGAGGTTTCTAAGGATCCAAAGCAAACAAATGATGCCTCATATTAAACTCTTAATAAAACCCAGGAAAACAAATCTAGTTTACGTGATGACAAAGTATTTCCCACGTCTGGGTCACGGGTTTACACACGTAGCTACTGCCTGCCTTGTTACTCTGGACCCGCTACCTCTTGTGGCTGACGAGTTAGACTCACCCACTGCTGCTGAGGGAAGAAAAGCCTGACTTTTCCATTAGGAGTCGGGTGGACAGAACCAGTATTTGTGGCTGAAACATTCCTGCCCTCAGAGTCACGTCACCCAACCACCCCTCGGACCCCAGTGCGAGCACGCAGACGCCCACCCCAGGTGTGTCCGCACCCACATATTTGTAGCATCTGCAGCTGGACGTCAACACGAAGTCCCCAGGAAGCCCGGGGACCCCCTGACCCACAGGACCACCCTCCGCCAAGTGTCTCACATGGACCCTGAACTCTCTGCAGAAGGGGGGGTGACAAGGAGACGCTCCCCCGTTAAAGCCCCGGAGTAACCCAGTCACACACACTGGCTCCTTTACTTCTAGGATCCGTAGAAGATTGTTACAGCCGACACGGAAAAGTCTCGTTTCAGTCCTCAAGTGTCAGGGAGTGTCCCCTCGTCACACCCTGATTTCAACTCCTTTGAGATTTGTGAAAATCCAGCTTGTTGTCCAGCAGAAAAGCAATTCTTCGGCAACTACAATAATACGCTCGCGGGGTCTGGGCCTTGGGAGGGGTCACCGCTACTTGACAGGAGCCTCTCCACACCGTCAGGGGGTGTCCTTCCAGGGACACAAATACTTCCCGGGTGCTCCGCGGGGGCGCCGACGAGTCATCTCCGTCTCCAGAGGCGCAACATTCCCGAGTCGCCGTCCAAACGTCACACTATCGCTGTCAACAAGGAGAAGTGTCCACTTCCCTCTGCTGCAGGAGGGCCAGGCCCAGGGGCTGAGCGTCAGCAGGAGCCCAGCCCAGCTCCCAGGCTGAGGGCAGCTCACAGCGGAGAGCCGGGCTCAGCTGCCCGCGGACGCGATGCCTGACTCTCCCCAGCTGGGGGCTTGGAGCCAACTTGCTTCTCTCTCTGGCTCTGCGTGCGGACAGGGACCTTCCTCCCTGGGAGCCCACGTGGGACCAAACGAGATCATCTTTCTTAAGAGATGAGCCAAGTGCCTGGCCCGAGGACGTGAGGTCTTCGAGGGTGCAACTGTCACCAGGCAGGGCAAGGAGGTCAAACAGCCCCAATACCCCCCAGCTGGTGGGTCTCTGCCCTGTTATCCAGGAGCTGAGGGGCACGAGACGCCCCCTGGGTCTGAGCGCACAGGCCTCCTCGGTGGCCAACGACGACCAGCTGAAACAGAAACGTGCTGAACCGCAGGCAAACCTTGGTGTCTGAGTTCGCCACATGGAGGCTGAGCTCCGAAGGCGGCGGAACAGGCCCCTGCCCCACAGCCTGTGGTCTCCTTGACTATGAGCGTCTGGGAGTCGCTCAGGTGACCGGTCCCTTCGCCCCCCAGTGCCCGGCAGTGCCTCCGTCCCCCAGGACCAAGCAGCGCCCATCAAGGTGTGGAGCTGAGCTTAATCTAGCGGATGCTCACCTTCCGCAGGCTGCCTGCCGTCTTCAGAGGGCTAGAAGCAGACAGGAAAACCCACTGGGTGCACACTCGGGGGAACGGTCAGATTGGCCTGAAGCCGCGGTACTTACGAACATGAGGCGGGTGGGGATGCTGTCCGACTGCACCAGGGGGTTTTTGTACAGCCAGATCTCCTCCGGCTGGATGACCCTCTGGAACGGGTCCAAGAACTCCGTGAGGCTGAAACGGAACAGAGACAGGTGCACGAGGCTGAGCGGGGCCCCCCTTCCTGGAAGGCTGCCTCCCCCCCCTTCCTGGAAGGCTGCCCCCCACCCCCGTTCCTGGAAGGCTGCCCCCCACCCACACCCCCCTTCCTGGAAGGCTGCCCCCCCCGTTCCTGGAAGGGGCCCCCCCCCATTCCTGGAAGGCTGCCCCCCCGTTCCTGGAAGGGCCCCCCCTTCCTGGAAGGCCGCCCCCACACCCCCTGGGGAGGACCCGCCCTGCAGGACGGGAGGACCCAGCTGCCCCTGCTGGTGGTTCTCGGCCAGGTCCAACTGGCAAAGAGCGAAAGAACTGCTGAGACTCGCAGGACCTGTTGCCGGCTCTGGGTCCGAGATCAGCTGAGGGAGACGCGCAGACCGAAGGACTGGGGCTCCCAGGGGACCCGAAGCTGGTCGGACGGTGGCTCAGCCTGGAGCAAGGCCAGGCCAGCAGGTCTCTGGGAACCACGGGGACTGGAGCTGGGGCACAGGGGGGGCAGCTGGACCCCGGGTGGACCTGGTTCCTCCCTCCGCGTTACCCTGAGGCACCCTGCCACCCCCTAGGCACCAGTAGGGGGCAGAGTGAGAAAGAAAAGCCCCAGAAGAGACGGGAGGTGGCAGAGCACAGGAGGGGGAGGGAGGGGAGGGGGAGGGGCATCCGGGCTGCTGCCCAGAAACCAGCCCCTTAGGCTTCCATCTCCTCGCCCTCCCAACCCCCTCACACCCTCTGAACCCACAACACCAGGCAGGTGAACGGCACCCCCAGAAACACGGGGGCGGGGCCAGAGGGGTGGGGCTTCCTCCGTGGGCTGTCAGCCACCCCAGCTCTCGGCCCAGTGCTCACCCGGAGCTCAGCTCAGAGCCCTGTCCCAAGAGAACCAACCGGCACAGGCTGAGTGGGTTTCCGACCACGCCCCGGAGGTCAGTGGGGCTGTCTGGGCACACGTGAGCCACGCCCGGCAGGATGTGGCTGCGCCCGCAGGGAACGGGCAGGTGAGGGCTACCGCCCTTTCCAATGCAACCCGCCCCCAGCGGTCACCCCAGTGGGGGTCCCCCGCCCACTGCAGAACCTTGGCTCCTGTTTCTGCCCCACACAGGGGGCCACGGCCCGGGGACTGGCCTGCATGGGGCACCCACCCGTCCTCCCCTTGTGGGCTCCCGGGGGCGTCCTTCCTCACGGCACCCGAGTTGCCCCCAGACCACGCCCGTCCAGCAGATCATGTCTGATGGGAGCAGCAGTGCCAGACGGACGGGTGTCCCCTCTGCAGACACTGCGGCCACCAGCTGACCCGGGGAGTCCGCGTCTCAGAGAGCGAAGGGGGCGAGGGGCCCGTGGTCCGAGCGAAGCGCTGGGGACGCTGCGGCGTGTCCTCAGGGGGTGCGCGGGCCTAGACGCCCTTCACGGCTCTGCGCACGGTGTGGGGACCTGCTCCAGGTGTGGCCTCCTGTTCCCCAGGGTCACTGCGCACCCAGGGCTCCCACTGTGCCCGGAAACCACCTGGGCTCTGGCGCCTGCAGGTGCAGCCGGTCTGGGGAAGAGCCGATGGCTGGCACCTCCGTGCAGCTTCCGGGGGTGCTGCTGCTGCTGGCCTGGGGCCAGACTCCGAGTCCCCAGCGGCCAGGCCATCGGCACCGCCGAGGAGGGAGCTGGCTGAAGATGCAGGACCCCGGGCCAGCTCAGCCCGACCACGTCCGAATGTCCACGTGTAACAAGATCCCCAGGGCCGGAGTGGGCTCGAGACACAGGGCGTCCGAGGAAGCCAGAGCTTCCCACCCGGGGCCGTTTAAGAACAAAGTTGTCCAGGTTCCTCGTCCTTCCTCCGCCCGGGTGCAGAGTGTTCCTTAGCCTGGGTAAGCCGGAGAAACTTTGTTCTAGAAGAAACTTCTTGTCACTGCTCAAGGATGAAACCCCACAAACAGCTGGCTGCTGTCTCTGCCCTGCAGAGTGGCCAGACCTGTGGCGCTGAAGCCGACACAGAAGGTCCCCTCTGTCCCCAAAGCTGTCCGCTGACTGAGCATCGCTGAGTGTTTCTGTGGCCACCAGCACTGCGAGGGCCGAATCCTGTGGACCTCGGCTTGACCCTGGGCCCCTGGAGACACCCCCAAGTGGTGTCTGTGGCCCCAAAGATGGCCAACTCCAGAGCCAAGAACCGAGCAGTCTGCCCGGGGATGACCGGGCTCTGTGGTTGGCCCGAGCTGCTGACTCTAAGTCCCCCTGGGAAGAGGATGGAGGTAGCCATCCCGTCCCTGCCGCCAAGACCCACGGGCAGGACGTGAGGGCCACGCGGAACATCAGTTCCAGGGACACCTGCCTGCTTCCGATCACAGCTGTGCCCACGGGGCCGGGAACAGAGCTCACCGTGCAGTAGGTGCTCAAGAAACGTCCACTGCTCGCAAACCGCGCGAATGAACCCTCGGCAGCTTTGCGGAGAGATCCAGTCCCCGCCCCCGGGCACCTCCAGCCGGCGCCTGCTGCTACGCTGACTTGGACGGCCCCGTGCCTTTGAAAACTGTGTACTTCACAACCAATGTTTAAAAACCAGACGTTTTTACAGCAAGATCTTAACTTCTGACTCCCACGAGAGAACCTGGTCCGGGCCTGCGTCCCCCCAAGACCCAGACAGTCCGAGGAGCTGAGAAGCAGCTGCTCAGAACGGAGACTTTTTACTGATGACTCATCGCTTCCCTCAGCGAGCACAGAAATCCACCCGCCGTGACCCTGCTCGGAGGAGCCATGTGCTCAGGGCTCCGGGGTCACTACCCTCCCTGGACCCCTCTCCCTGCCCACCTTCTCTTTCCCAGACCCCTCTGCTTCCTCAGGCCCCTTCATGGCCAATTAGCCCCAGGCGCCCGGCTCTGCTCCACGGGCCGTCCACCCCGGACGTCCAGTCCTCCCCGCGTCCGGGAGCTCTCACCCCTCCTGGGCCGTCCAGTCGCTCTGGGCTGACAGCTCCGGGCTTTCTTCTGGCCACAGAAACAAACCATGTCCCAGGTGAGCAGTGGCCACCACACTCCGAGCCCAAACACCGTGTCCTGCCGCGGCCTCGCTGCGGCCTCGACGTGAACAAGTCCCTCAGTGTCTGTTCTCCTCGTCAGGGACTGGGCTGCACGGCTCCGGGGTTTTCCGTCCGTCTGGACGCTGGAGACTCTCACAGGTGAGGAACACCCGCCACGCTCCGGGGGGACTTACGCACGCGCACTGCGATTCCATTACGACTTCGCCACACCAAAGAGGTGATTTCTGCCTATTAAGAAACTGAGCGTAGGAGATGCAAGTCAAAACGGCGATGAGAGACCAGCCACACCTGCTGGAATGACCATCCTCAAAGAGACGAGAGAGAAACATCGGTGCCAACGAGGAGAAGGGGGAGCCTGCGTGCTGCTGGGATGGGAACTGGTGTGGCCACTGCGGTCAACAGTGCGGAGGCTCCTCAAAAAGTTAAAAACAGAACCACCGTGCGGCCCAGCAATTCCACTTCTGGGCACAAATCCCAAGGACACGAAAAAGGGTCTGAGAGGAAACATCGTCACTCCCATGCCCGGTGTGGCCTCTAGTTACAACAGCCAAGATATGGAGGCAGCTCAGCGCCCATCGCTGCGTGAACGGATGGAACACGTGCGACACCCCCTGGGGTCCTTCACCCTGAGAAATAAGGACATCCCACCATTGCAGCAACACGGATGGACCTTCGAAGCATCGTGCTGAGCGGAGTAAGTCAGACAAGCAGAGACGAACGCTGTGTTATCTCACTTACGTCTGGAATCTCAAAGGTCGAACGCGCAGACACAGAGACCTGAATGGTGCTGCGGGGGCGGGGGTGGGGGTGAGGGACAGTGGTCAGAGGGTGCAGACCTCCAGCTGAGGTAAATATATTCTAGGACCTAAATCTTCGTCACATACTTGAAATTTTCTGAGTGGATCTCAAGCGTTCTCTCCACACAACAGAAACGTTAAAATGGGCCACGTCAGCTGGTGTGACTGGGGGTCACTTCTCAACACGTAAGAGCATCGAATCCGCACCCGGCAGCTCCCGCGCGCACAGTGATCTCAGCAGTTCTGTCTCAGCGACGCTGGGAGAGAAGGGAGCGGCGGTGGACGGTCAGGGGACACTCGTACCAGGAGGCTCTCGGTCCACTGCCAAGTGGACCAGCCGCTGCTTCTCTGCTGTGGCCACTTCCCAAAGTCCTGACCTTTGCTGGTTTCAGACAGAGAGGAAGGGAGAGAGAAACACCCATGAGAGAACATCGATGGGCCCACCACCTGCGCACGTGCCCTGACTGGAGTCGAACCTGAAACCTTCCGGCTGGGGCTGACCTGCTGCTTTGTCGGTGGAACCGTATGTCCCCATGTGATCGGTACCCAGGGCAGCTGGCAATGCCCAGCCCGACGATCTGTGACAAGCGAGGGCGTCTAAGTCTCAGCACACCCGTCAGCAGCAGGGTCCGCGCCTCCCCCTCCCCCATACCCGCCATCGCTTTGTCTAAAAGCCTCACAATGAAACTCCCCGCTGTCTCCGAAGTGCAAACCTCAGGCGCAGAAGTTATTCCTGCTGCCGAGCGCTGGACCGGGAGGGACGCGGCCCAGACCTGCCGGGGCTGTTCCCTCCCCTCTGGCCACAACAGCCTCGAACTCGCCGAGCTCGTCAGGAGCTCACACACGTTCCTTCTACCCGCACGTTCTCCCCGATCCCCGCACGGCTCGCCCCACACTGCCTGCCGGTCTCTGCACAAGCAGCACCCCGTCCCGGGCTTTCCGGAACATTCCCACGCAGAGCAGCGACAGCCCACCCACACCCGCCTCGCTCCCCGCCCCGTCCCGGGCTCTGCTCGCTGTTCAGACCCTCCCACAGGTGCACAACGCACAGTCTTTCCCGCCTACAGAACACAGGCTCCACGCGGCAAGGGCTTCACCTCCTGTGTCTGCTGCCACAGCCCCAGGGCCCACGGTTCGCCTGATGTCTAACAGGCTGCAAAGAATTA